TAGAGATAAGATTTGATAATCAGACATGTTTGTATCATATATTAAAAGTGATCATGACCGATGTCTCATAACAAAACTATTTTGGCCACTTTGACTAAGTCCTTGGCTGACGGAGAATTGTTGGTTTTTCATTTTTTAAAAGAGCTTGAAAATAATTCCACACCATCATTATCTACCGAAAATATAACTTGAATTGATTAAGTGACTTTTTACGTGAAGTGACAACAATTAAATAATTTTTCTGTTACAAAACAAAGAAAAGTGAATTTCTGAATAGTTGAGTGATTATGTGAAAAATCAACTCTTGACATCTACTACATGAATTAGAGATAATGTAACCAAGAGTTTTATAGATCTAAAATTGAAAATTATTGGATATGATCCACTACTTTAGAGATAAGAATTAATAATCAGACATGTTTGTATCATACATTAAAAGTGATCATGACCGATGTCTCATAACAAAACTATTTTGGCCACTTTGACTAAGTCCTTGGTTGACGGAGAATTGTTGGCTTTTCATTTTTTAAAAGAGCTTGAAAATAATTCCACACCATCATTATCTACCGAAATTATAACTTGAATTAGTGAAGTGACTTTTTAAGTTAAATGACAACAATTAAATAATTTTTCTGTTACAAAACAAAGAAAAGTGAATTTCTGAATAGTTGAGTGATTATGTGAAAAATCAACTCTTGACATCTACTACGTGAATTAGAGATAATGTAACCAAGAGTTTTATAGATCTAAAATTGAAAATTATTGGATATGACCCACTACTTTAGAGATAAGAATTGATAACCAGACATGTTTGTATCATACGTTAAAAGTGGTCATGTCATGACCGATGTCAAATAACAAAACTATTTTGGCCACTCTGACTAAGTCCTTGACCGAAACAACTCAAAATTTGACTTGAGAATGACTATATTTTCTCTGATAGCAGCCAAATTTGCAAAATTTGAAGAAAACGCGTTTATTGTTGATCTTTAATTTATTTTGTTTTTCTTCTTGGGACTAGAGAAATGTGTTTAATTATTCTTTGCGGAAACAATCTTATGTAGCTTACTCCCTCTATGCATTGTTTGAATTTTCAAGAGCCATCCTTTAATTTTTATCGTTAATTCAAGCATGCAATCTTTAAATTTTTAAAATAAAATTTATATATTTAAAAACTACATAAAAAATACTATAAGTCATAATAATTGATCCACAAACAGTCTTCTAAGTGGTCGCGTTTAAAGTGAAGAATTAGAGTTTTTAATATTCAAAAACCATCCTCGGAGGTTGACATAGCTTAATCTATCTCAAATAAAACACTATTAAGAAATTCCTTTTATATATTTGTAAACTCGATTTGAGAGTCAATGAAATTTAATTTTATCAAACTATTCAAGCATGAGAAAGTTTAAACTTTTGGAGATCTCATAAAAATAAAATATCCTTTGCAATATGACTTTATTAGGCAAATTGAAAAATCAGCTAATTTTTACACATTTCATTCAAATTGAGATGACGATAGTTCAAGTAGGGAAAATACATAACTTATTATTCGAATGTAAAGCTCGCAAAAAAAAAAGAGGGTGATATTCACATATATTGTTGACCATTATCTCATAATTTTCTTTATTCATTTTTCAAAAGTTCCACATCATGAGACATCAACATCTAGCAGATCCCAACAAAATAAAACACCCTTCTCAACACAGCTAAGACAGATTGAAAAATGACAACATTTTCTAAAAGACAAAAACAAACAACCCAAATTTGTAACAAAGACACTACGAATCATGGTAACATCTAAGACTGAGAATTGTTGGATATGATCCACTATTGTAGAGATGAGAATTGAGAACAGACATGTCTGTATCATACATTAAAAGTGATCATGACTGATGTCTGATAACAAAACTATTTTGGCCACTTTTGACTAAGTCCTTGACTGAAACAACTCAAAATTTGACTTGAGAATGACCACATTTTCTCTGATAGCTACCAAATTTGCAAATTTGATAAAAAACACGTTTCCTGTTGATTTGCAATTTATTTTGTTTTTCTTATTGGGACTAGAGAAATGTGTTTAATTAATCTTTGCGAAAACAATCTTACGAAGCTTACTCCCTCTATCTCAATTTATAATGTTTAGTTTGAATTTTCAAGAGTCAAATCCTTTAATTTTTATCGTAAATTCAGGCATGGAGTCTTTAAATTGTTAAAATAAAATTTATATATTTAAAAACTACTTAAAAATTACTATAAGTCATAATAATTAATCTGCAAATCATCTTCTAAGTGATCGCGTTTAAAGGGAAAGAATTAGATTTTTTAATATTCACAAACCATCCTCAAAGGTTGAGATATCTTAATCTATCTCTAATAAAACACTATTAATTTGCGATCCAATTTTCTTCAAGGGTCATTACCTACTCTAATAAATTCCACAAGATACTTCATATCAAAAAATAATCCGAGTGAAGAAATTTCTTTTATATATTTGTAAAATCGATTTGAGTCATTGAAATTTAATTTTATCAAAATATTCGAGCATGCAAAATTTGAAACTCTTGGAGGTCTCATAAAAATAAAATACCCTTTGCAATACGACTTTATTAGGCAGATTGAAAAATCACCTAATTTTTACACATTTCATTGACAGATATGCCACTTACTATAAAATTACGCCCACACCTCGAAATCCATAAATCTCAGTTGTTTGTGAATAATTTGTGTTTCAAATTGAAATGACGATAGTTCAAGTAGGGAAAATAAATAACTTATTATTCGAATGTAAAACTCGCGAAAAAAAAAAAGATATTCTATATCTACTATATTAGAAGAGCCCGTGGAAATGTTGGTATCAACATGCCTGCTTGGCATTTTGAAGGGTATTTTAGTTATTTAAGTTTCAATTGACCAATTGTCTCGGCGGAAAGTTCTATTTCTTATAGATGTTTTGTTATATTTTGTCTGTGTAGACGTTTTTGCCATTATGATTAGTGTATATTAAAGTAAAAAATGATGAAAAAGCAACCCTTCGTGTGGGCCCAACCTCACTCCTTGGACAACTTCTTTCCTCAACATATATTATCATTTCTTTCCTTTATATTTATCTAAAACATTGTTTAGTTATATGTATTATTTATTAACATTAACATGTGGACATTAGATTAAAAATATTGTTTAGCTGTAATAGCTTGATTGTCGCTAAACATGTACTTTTAATGACAATTAGCTCTTTGTAAGTGTCCCTAAAGTCTATAGCAAAATTGAATCTAATGTCGGTAAATGCTTTAGCATTCTTTGTTAATGTTTATATTTATTGCCGCTAAAAGTCATTTTTGTTATATTGGGAAGAAATTACATTTTTGTTTGGTTATTATCATTTATAACGTAAGATTTATATTGATACTTAATGTACTTACTAGATTTATTAGCAGTTTTTTTTAAACGTAACTTGCAACATTAAATTAAATCCATATTTATTAGTATAATCTTACATTTGAATTGTGAAGTTGACTTTTTAGTTTTATAAGACAAATAACATTAATTACATAATTAAACATTCGTATTTAGTTCGAGTTATTTTAAGGTTGTCAGTAGTTCAAGAATGAAACTAATAATTCGCGTCGAATTTACGAGTGTCTTTAATGCTTTTCTCTAAACAAATTGTATGATATAGTCTGAAATTAAATTAATATATACAAGTATTCAAATTCCTATAGAGTGCAACACAAAATTTCAATAAGAAAAAATAATATTGGATTTATTAGATATAAAATGAAAATATTATATTGGGAAAATGCATAAGTACCCCCAACCTATGCCCGAAATCCCAGAGACACACTTATACTATAGTAAGGTCCTATTACCCCCCGAACTTATTTTATAAATAGTTTTCTATCCCTTTTCGGCCTACGTGGTACTATCAACCAGATAACTTGAAAAAATTGTCAACACACGCTAGGCCTAGAAGATAGTGCCACGTAGGCCGAAAAGGGGTAGAAAATTATTTATAAAATAAGTTTGGAGGGGGGGGGGGTAATAGGACCTTAGTATAGTATAAGTGTCTAAAATTTCGGGCATACGTTGTTGGGGGGGGGGGGTACTTATGCATTTTCCCCATTATATTATGAACAACAGTAGTAGTCGAAACATAAATAAATTTCATGCCTATTAAAAAATAATAATTGACATGACTGTTTTACTGTTCTATCCATATTAACTACGTAATGTTTAATATTAAATCTTGAAAAATGAGTTGGAGAATAAATAATTAATGCTAACGTTAGTAATGAAAAATAATAATTTTCTTTTCTTGATATATTACAAGTGACAAATAAAAATAAAAATCTATTTTTAAAATAATGAAAGTGTAAAAATGAACACGGAGTATATCATAATTGAAATTGTTAGGCCGTGCGCAGCACGGGCGTTCTTCATCTAGTTCAAATATAGTTTTGACCATATATTATCTCTTAATTTTCTTTGCTCTTTCATTTATTTGGCTATTCATTTTTCAAAAGTTCCACATCATCAAACATCAATATCTAGCATGTCCAACAAAAATATAACACCCTTCTCAACACGGCTAAGACAGATTGAAAAATGACAACATTTTCTCAAAGACAAAAACAAAACAACCCAAATTTGCAACAAAGACATAACAAATCATCGTAACGTCTAAGATTGAGAATTGTTGGATATGATCCACTACTGTAGAGATGAGAATTGAGAACCATACATGTCTGTATCATACATTAAGAGTGGTCATAATCAATTTGTGATAACAAAACTGTTTTGGACACTTTGATTAAGTCCTTGCCTGAATAAGACCTCTAACACAAAACAATCCAAAATTTGACAAGAGAATGACAACATTTTTTTCTCCGATAGCAGCCAAATTAGCAAATTTGGAAAAAACGTGTTTCCTGTTGGTCTTTAATTAGTATAAGTTACGTACAATATCAAATCCTATGAATCCGAAACAATAAACTCAAAATATGATGATGGTTTCTAGCAAAACATTCTCTTTGCTTCAGTTTTTCACTCTTTTCTACCTCTTTACAGTTGCATTTGCTTCCACTGAGGAAGCAATTGCCCTCTTGAAATGGAAAGCAACTTTCAAGAACCAGAATAATTCCTTATTGGCTTCATGGATGCCAAATTCTAATGCATGCAGGGACTGGTATGGAGTTATATGCTTTAATGATCGGGTAAACACGTTGACTATTACAAATTCCAGTATCATTGGTACACTCTATGCTTTTCCGTTTTCATCTCTTCCTTTTCTTGAGCATCTTGATCTTAGCAGGAACAATATCTCTGGCACCATTCCACCTGAGATTGGTATTCTCACTAATCTTGTCTATCTTGGTTTGAACATCAATCAGATTTCAGGAACAATCCCACCACAAATAGGATCACTAGCCAAGCTTCAGATCCTCCGCATATTTGGCAACAATTTAAATGGCCCCATTCCAGGAGAAATAGGTTATCTAAGGTCTCTTAGAGCCCTAGATTTGAGTGATAACTCTCTTTCTGGTTCTATCCCTGCTTCATTGGGGAATTTCAACAACTTGTCTTTACTATATCTTTATAATAATCAGCTTTCTGGTTCTATTCCAGAAGAAATAGGTTACCTGAGGTCTCTTACTGAAATATTTTTGAACAGAAACTTTCTTAATGGTTCTATTCCTTCTTCATTGGGGAATTTGAACCACTTGTCTATTTTGTGTCTTTATGATAATCATCTTTCTGGTTCTATTCCTGCTTCATTTGGGAATTTGAACAACTTGTCTATCTTGTGTCTTTATGATAATCACCTTTCTGGCTCTATTCTTGAAGAAATAGGTTACCTAAGGCCTCTCACTATGCTATTTTTGGGTATGAACTCTCTTAATGGTTCTATTCCTGCTTCCTTTGGCAATTTGAGAAATTTGCAAGAGCTGTATCTCAATGATAACAATCTCACTGAGGAGATTCCTTCATCAGTGTGCAATCTGACATCACTGGAAGTGTTGTTTATGTCGAGAAACAACTTGACAGGAAAAATTCCACAATGTTTAGGTAATATCATTCGCCTCAAGGTTATGACGATGTCACATAATAATCTCAGTGGAGAGATCCCTTCATCTATTTCCAATTTAACATCACTACAAATTCTAGATTTGGGCAGAAACAATCTGGAGGGAGCAATTCCACAATGTTTTGGCAATATTCGTAGCCTCCAGGTTTTTGATATGCACAACAACAAACTTACAGGGACTCTTCCAACAAATTTTAGCATTGGAAGTTCACTTATAAGTCTCAACTTGCATGGCAATAAACTAGAGGGAAAAATACCTCGATCTTTGGCCAATTGCAAAAAGTTGCAAGTTCTTGATCTAGGAGAAAATCATCTCAATGACACATTCCCCATGTTGTTGGGAACATTGACAGAGCTGAGAGTTTTAAGATTGACATCGAATAAATTGCATGGACCCATTAGATCTTTAGGGGCTGAAATCATGTTTCCTAATCTTCGAATCATAGATCTCTCTTACAATGCCTTCTCGAAAGCCTTACCAACGAGTCTGCTTCAAAATTTGAAAGGCATGAGAACAATTGATCAAACCATGGACAAACCAAGTTATGAAGGAGATGGATATTACCAAGACTCGGTAGTTGTTGTATCAAAGGGATTGAAGCTTGAAGTTGTGAGAATTTTGTCTTTGTACACAGTTATAGATCTTTCAAACAACAAATTTGAAGGATATATTCCTGGTGTTCTGGGAGATCTCATTGCGATTCGGGTACTGAATTTATCTCATAATGGATTGCAAGGCCCTATACCACCATCACTTGGAAGCTTATCCGTAGTGGAATCACTGGACCTTTCGTTTAACCATCTTTCGGGAGAGATACCACAACAACTTGCTTCTCTTACTTCTCTTGAATTCTTAAATCTCTCCCACAATTATCTCCAAGGATGCATCCCTCAAGGACCTCAATTTCATACCTTTGAGGGCAATTCATATGAAGGTAATGATGGATTACGTGGATTCCCTGTTTCAAAAGGTTGTGGCAATGATCATGTGTCAGAGATAAATTATACAGTGTCTGCGCTAGAAGATCAAGAAAGAAATTCTGAATTTTTCAATGATTTTTGGAAAGCCGCCCTGATGGGCTATGGCAGTGGATTATGTATTGGATTATCCATAATATATTTCATGATCTCAACTGGAAATATGAAATGGCTTGCAAGAATCATTGAAGAACTGGAACACAAAATTATCATGCGAAGGAGAAAGAAGCGGCAAAGTCAAAGGAACTACAGAAGAAGAGATAATCGTTTCTAGACAAGTTACCAATAAAGAAGGATTCAATTTCAGAACTTCAGGTATTCAAGCTAAGATCTACACTAATCTTTTTTAGTTTATTCTAACTATTAATATATTAGTTTACACGTTTTTTGTTAATAACAACAACTAATTAATGCTCAATATGAAGCATATTTGTGTTTCTAACAACTTCAAGAAGCTAAAGATTTGAAAAGCTTGGAAGTTGTTATAACAGTGGCTACTAAATTCAATCAGTGAGCAACTCTCAAGTATTTGACTCACTATCTAATTTTTTCAGATGCCGAGAATAAGAAGATGTTGGCGTAATGGATTTGCCTTTTAGTGTCTTTTTAGTTTTATAAGTAAGTTTCTTCTTAACTTGGAAAATGTAATATTATGAATTTTTGATGATATATAAAGTTTATGTAAGTTTCTAACGCTATTCAATAAATGTTGTGTGTATTGAATGAAATGTATGCATTTCTCTGATCCCTAACTTACAGTTCAAAGAATCTAAGAGGGACTTAGTCATGAATAAATTTTTGAACAAGCTGAAGAATGTGTTATCTTGTCCCTATTTAGCTCGAGAAAGAAGTGAAGGCAGAGTGTTGGGTGTCCCTGGGTTGCTCGCTGCTGCCTCAACGTGTGCTGAGGTTTTGCAGCAGTCTAAAGAGAGAGCGTTGAGAAGAGCTAAATTAGAGGAAGATATTTATCGTGCGATAGAGGAAAGAGCATTAACAAGGAAGAATAACGAGTTCGTGACAAGTGATTACATTTACTGGCCAAGGGAATTGCTTTAATGGATATGAGAACACAAACAATTTGGATTTGATGATCATAACTAGGGGTGGCAAAATGGATAAATAATATGGATATCCGCTCATATTATCCATTTTAAATGAGTTGGGTATCCAACTCATTTAAAAATGGGTAAAAAATGAGTAATACCCACATTACTCATTTAAAAGTGGGTAGTTAAATGCATAAAATGGGTAAAAGCAAACAAAAAAAGTGATAAAGGTAAGAAATTAAAAATTAAAATTTTTAATGGGGTGTGGAGGGGGGGGGGAGGGTCTGGTAGAGGGGTGTGGGGGGAGGGGAGGTGGTATGGGGTGGGGTGGTAATTTTTTCAAAAAAAAATTTAAAATTTTAATGAAAAAATTTAAAATTTTGTTAATTTTATTTTGGGATGGGGTGTTGAGGGAGGAGGGGGGGGGGTAATTTTTTTTTTTTTTTTAAATTTAAATTTTTTTGATGAAGTTTTTTTTTTGTGGATGGGGTGTGGAGGGGCTGGAGGCTGGTAGGGGGTAGGGGTTGTTGGGGGGGTGGGGGGGGTGGTAGGGAGTGGGGTGGTAATTTTTTTTAAAAAAAATAAAATTTTTGTTTTTTTTTTTTGGATGGGGTGTGGAGGGGGGGGAGTGGTAGGGGGTAGGGGGCTGGTAGGGGGTGGGGTGGTAATTTTTTTAAAAAAAATTTAATGAAAAATTTTAAAATTTTGTTTTTTTTTTATTGGATGGGGTGTGGAAGTGGGGGGGGGGGGCTGGTAGGTGGGTGGGGTGGTAATTTTTTTTAAAAAAAATTAATGAAAAAATTGAAAATTTTGTTAATTTTTTTTGGGATGAAGTGGGGGGGGGGGGGTAGGGGCTGGTAGGGGTGGGGTGGAAATTTTTTATTTTTTTTTACATTTTTTTGGGATAGGGGGGCTGGTAGGAGGTGGAGTGAAGTAATAAAAAAAAAAATTATTTTAATTTTTAAAGCTTTTAACAAGATTTCTATTATAATATGGGTAAATATGGTTATCCATATTATCCATTGGGTAACTCGTTTTTACTCATTTAAAATGTGAGTCGAGTCGAGTAACTTATCAATTTTTATTTAACTCGTTTTTTGATCGACTCATATTCGGCTCGACTCACTCGTTTGCCACTCCTAATCATAACAGAGTTGTGTTTCAAATTTCTTTTAGAATAAGTTTGTAACATTTTTAATTTTTTTGATAACCGAGAAATCCATCGGTGATCCGCCCTTTGGGCCTATCACAGCTTTCTAAACTCGATGGATAATGAGCCCGCCCCTATACCCTTCTCCACTTAAATACCAGGCTTCGCTTTGTTACATTTACTGCACATTTTGTTTATTTTGTATGTATTTATTTATAATCGAATAATTATGTTGTTCCTTTATTGTTAGAGCATTGTCCTAAAACTGCTAATTGGCAACCTAATAATAAGTTGTGCTTCAGCCCCTGCTTTTATAAAGTTATACAGATATAGATTTGAAAATGTTAATCTTTTGCATAATTATCTACGAAAAAGGGTCACTTTTGCTCTTTTTACTCCGAGAAATAGTTTAAATGTATCATCCGTTTAAGTTTTCAGTCGTAACTAACCATGGGGCTATACATTTGATTGCCTCTAACCCTAATCGAAAAGGACACGTGGAGAGTCAGCAACACAAATAAATAATCTCGAATTATCTTATAACTAGTAAAATTATCCACGCTTCGCGCAGGAATTGAATATCATGAAATTTATAAAATAATACTTAAAACATATCCGTCATTAAAACTAAAACATTATATTATCTTACATACAAGATTACGTAGTAACAAACATTAATAATGTAAAGGAAAATGAAAATTATTACATCTTACTCCCTCCATTCCATATTAATTGAATTTTTGAGGTGTTTCACACCCTTTAAGAAAAATAGATTAAGACATAAATTGAACATAGTTTTCCATTTTTACCCTTATTAATTATTGTCAAATTTATAATTAAAATAACTAAACATTAATTAAATTTTATTGAAGTCATCACATTGAAAATCCAAATGAAGGGTAAAATTGGAAGAATATTTTAAGTCTTAAAGATTGAACAATTAAGTTAATTTGAAAAATGAAAAATGCCTCAAAAATTCAATTAATATGGAATGGAGGGAGTATCATTTATCTTTAACTGTAAAAATACATATCAGGATCTGTAACATAAGCAATTGTGTTAGTGAGTCACTCAACAGGAGCAAAGTACACAAATATTTAATTGTGAAGAAGAAGAAGAAGAAGAGGAGGTTCAGAATTTTCATTGTTTTAAAATGAGAGGAAATCCCTCTATTTATAGATAACAAAGGGTAGTGTGAACAAATGTTTATTGTGCCTTATCAGAAAGGTTATCACTATTTGGAAAAGTTGCAACCCTTCGGAAAGGTCACAACCTTTCATAGAAGTCACAACTTTTCATAAAAGTCGCAAGTCTTCATTAAAGTCGCAATTTTTCATAAAAGTCGGAACTTTTCATAAAAATCACAACTTTTCATTAAAGTCACAAATTTTCATAAAAGTCACAACTTTTCATTAAAGGGGAAGACTAATTTTGAAAATAAATAAATTAAAAGGAAATTATGGTTTGTGGTGGCGTCACGTAGGCGGGTCTAAGGTTCTCTTTTATATATATACTAGGTAATTTACCCGCGCATCTTTCTAAGCTTTTGAACAACATTTCCAATAATCGACTGTTATAAGAAGAAAATATATATATATTTAATGAATGATTAAAAATATCTTCATATCTAATCATTTTTATCTTTTACATAATTTATCATAAGATATGTGATGATATAATTGTCTTGTTAAAACTGAGTGATGTTTTTTATGTAGTGATTAAACATCATTTTTTCTATTTTTTTGTACATGAAAAATATAGAATCTGATAATTTTATGGTTAGAATAACTCCTTGTGAAAAAAATTAGGTGAAAGTTTTTGATAATCAATATTAGTTATAAATAAGTTAAGACCGTTAAAAATGTACACCACAACAACATAAATACATTTTTTTAGAGACAATCTACTTCTCGGAGGTCAAACGTTCACCACTTTTCGTTATTATTACTTTGTTACTCTAACAAAATATATAGAAGGAGAAAAATAAATTTGAAACAACAGCAAAATACTATTGTTGACCCTTTTTAGAAATTCGTTCTTTATTAAACTACATCTCTGAAGGCCCTTCTAGATGCTTCATCAATGCAATTTTACGACTTTTTCAGAAATATGTATGTATAATTGTTGCATTATGAAAGTACAAGTAGATCAAAATGTTGGATTATAGACTTATGTTAAAGAAATATTCTCGAACATGAAAAAATTAAAAAATGAGTTTAACCTAGATAACTCAAATGCTCAGCAATGACTTGGGACATGAAGGACAATAAATCTATGCTAATAGACATATCTTTTGTAGCTTAAAATATTACTTTTATTTAGAGTAGGTTTTGTTTCATATCCTTCAAATTAAGTTTGCCGAAAATAGTCATAACTCACACAAAAAATATTTAGAAAAGCCAAATGAGAAGGAAAAAAAGAAAATCATTAAAAGGACGAAAGGTTTGTCAAAGTGAGATCATATACATACCAAACGCAAAAATAATCAATACAATTTTAAGGAGACAACAAAACTGCGAGAAAAGAAACATACATTCATTCTAACCAAGAAATTTCACATGTTTTGAAATAACATACCTCAAAAAATTAATTAATACTTTAATCAACTTTCAATCTTTAAAATACTCATAATATCCACTGATAAAATTTAGTAAAAATAGATAACAACAACATAAAAATCAAATAATATGGGCATGCTAAGTTATTAACTCTCAGAGAATTTTCTAAAGAACACAAAATCTCATCCTTGTATGTGAAGGGATGACGTTGTTGATGAAGAAATTAGAGATTTGTAAGGGCCTTTTTTATTGTACCTTCAACAATTACAGTAGAGAAAACTTGCTTAAATACTAACAACAATGTTTAAAGCATGTACTCAAAAATAACAATTAATAATATATGCATAAATAAATGACGGTAAAAAACATATCAGATCTGTAACAATATAATGAAACAGAATGGAAAAAAACAAGCCCACTGAATGCACAGTGTCCCCTTAAGAAAATTATTCCTATCTAGTACCCGAGATTTAAAGGAATACATCCTCTCAGGATAGAACAATTCTATTCACCAGTGTAT